TCTTTTAAGTGATGCTTCAGCAAAGTGTTGGATGAAAGATGAGTCTTCATGTTAGCTCAATAATCAGTGCTTAACTAATGTACTGGTAATGTGTGCTCATTAATGACCAAGTCTCTTCTCCTTGGGCCAGCTGCCCACTGGGACTTCCAGTGTTCAGATGAGGATACTGATATTGGATGCTGTCTGTCTGATATGGGCCAGATGGTGCTTAGGCATGACTGACATAGCCAGAAACACTTAGATGCTGAGAAATTATAGTGAAAAAAAAAGGGAGAGGCGACTTTAATTGGTTTAACTACAAGTATTGGCTTATCACGTTTGTTTAAGTAATGTTTAATTAAACTTCAAGCTCAGAAGGCTTAGTTGGATTCTGGCCCTTGCTCTGTGGTGAAACCTTACCTACTAATGATACCTGCCAGTACTGCTTCTCCTTTACCGTCTTAGATTTTCCTCCATTTAAACTACAAATCTACAAGGAAGATTAATTCACTGTGTTTCGATACACTTCCTTATGCTTCTGCAAACACAAATGCCAGTTATACCTCCATTCATACTTCTAGGGATCTGTGGCTGGGTGCAGTAATTATTAGTGGTTTTTTTGTTTGTTCGTTTGTTTTTTTTTTAAGCAGTTTTTTCTTCTTGTGAATTCCCCTCCAAATTGTTTTCATGAGGCTTGGATTATATATGTTACCTAGGGCAAATTAATTGTTGTATTCCCTCTTAGCGAACTTTAGCTGTATGACCAAAAAATAAAATAAAATAGTAAGCCAATATATGTTCTGTTCTTGTAGGTGTTCCTTCTTCCTGGCTTGCTTTCAATGACAAAAAAGATGGGGTGCTGTAATCTTCAGATTGTTTACTATTGTGATATATATTTGAAAATATGTATGTAGTCTTAGGTAGCATAGCCATTGTATCGATGTGCCAGGCAAGGATTGTATATATATGTAATTCTGTAGAAAAGATTAATGCCAGGTGAGAGTTACTGCCTGTAAAAAATAACAATAATATGGGGTCTTTTTCCTCCTTTCCTTTTCCTCACACTAACCATCATGTTCCAAGCAGAGTTACAGAAAATCCTTTCTGGCATCAAGTGAAGAAAGTGGACTGCTGAACTTTGAGGAATCTACTCAAGTACCAGGAAGCAATTTAAATAACAAAGACACTATCATGTGGACAAGAGGTGAAGTCCTTGGAAAGGGAGCCTATGGCACAGTAAGTTGCAGTCTCAGTACGCTAGGGGATGCACCGGTTATCTCAGAATTATGTTTTACCTTCTAAATGACTACTTTCTTATTCAATAAATAACTTAAATATTTTGCATTCTACAGTGAGACATGACAGGTGACAGAAAAAAAAAGGAAGTAATTTAAAATAAGTAATCATACACTTTAATTTCATGTTTCATTTTAATAAATGCTAGTTTTGTTGTAGGTGTACTGTGGACTGACAAACCAGGGACAATTAATAGCTGTAAAGCAGGTTGTTTTGGATACGTCGGATCGACTGACTACAGAAAAGGAGTACCAGAAGCTGCATGAGGAAGTTGATCTTCTGAAGACATTGAAGCATGTCAATATTGTAACTTACTTAGGAACTTGTCTGGAAGACAACATTTTAAGTATTTTCATGGAGTTTGTTCCTGGTGGCTCAATTTCCAGTATTCTTAATCGTTTTGGTCCGTTGCCAGAAATTGTCCTTTGTAAATACACAAAACAAATTCTAGAGGGGGTTGCATATTTACATGACAATTGTGTCGTTCATAGAGATATCAAGGGCAATAATGTTATGCTCATGCCAAACGGAATAGTGAAGCTAATTGACTTTGGCTGTGCCCGGCGTTTGGCTTGGGTCAGCCTCAGCGGCACACACAGCGAGATGCTCAAGTCTGTGCATGGGACTCCATATTGGATGGCACCAGAAGTTATCACTGAATCTGGATATGGGAGGAAATCAGACATCTGGAGTGTTGGCTGCACAGTGTTTGAGATGGCAACAGGAAAACCACCACTGGCTTCCATGGACAGGGTAGCAGCCATGTTCTATATTGGGGCTCACAGAGGACTGATGCCTTCCCTACCTGATCGATTCTCTGGAACTGCAGTGGACTTTGTGCACGCATGCTTAACCAGGTATGTAACTTTTTAACTGAAAATCTTTATGAAATGAATAGCAAATTAATAGCAGCTTTTTACATATATCTGAAGATCAGACTTTGTCACTAGGGAGAAGCATGTTATTTAGTGGGCATGGTAGTGGCCTCAGAGGCAGGAAGCTTGAATTCTAATCTTTGGATTAGAATCGTTATGGTTAGATGTGAACCACATAACAGTAACCAGAAAAACTGTTGTCAGCAACATCATATACACTTTGTCTCAGAGAGAACAGTATTTAGAAGGTAGTAGGAATTGTTAAGGTAGAAGGAAATACACAGGTAGAGTTTTTAATACAGTATCGACCTTATAAACAAACAAAATAAAAACTGAAAGTCAACAACCACCAGCAGCAAAAATGAACAAAAACCTCATGTGTGTCAGTAGTGGCAAAAGTTTACTATATCATCTCACTGTGCCACAAATGTAAGTGACTCCTTCATTCTTTCTTTCCCATTAGTTTATTAGTTAGGAAATCAGCATCCTTTATCCTTTTTCCTGTTTTGCTTTTGAAATAAGTCCAAACTGAGGGCTGAAAAGGTTAGTTCTTAGTTCTAGAAATGCTGTAATTCCAAATGGCCTCGTTAATGTGAATTATGTTGATCGGAGATGACAGAATAGACTGACAGACACAAGTTCAGGCAAATCATTGTCATGTTCCTTAAATTTTTTCTGCACCTGAAACAGCCAAATTTACATGATTTTACTCCGTTTTGGAAAGATTTTAGTGGAAGAATGATTTTTTATTCCACTTTTATAAGTCATAAATGCCAACTGCATCTTTCCACAAATTCTGCCATCCTTTCTGTCAGTCTTATTAAAAAACAAAAGCAAAAACGAAAAATAAATTTCGAAAAACAACCCAAAAACGACTAATCTCTGGAGAAATAAGAAAAAAATAAATGCCTTAGTATGCATTTAGCTTTTACAAATAATTACATACCATGCATGCACATCCATTTGATGTACTGATTTTTCAAATCCTCAATGCAGAGATCAACATGAACGCCCTTCTGCTCTGCAGCTGTTGGACCATCCCTTTTTGAAAGGAAGACAGTGAACCGTTCAGACCTCCTGTCAAGTGAGTAATACATTTTCTATTACGAAAAGTATTTCTGCTTGTGAAAAAGATCAGAACAAACTGGAGTTAGAAGTAACAGCAGAACATACTGCAGATTGGTTGTGTAGACAGTGAGTCTATTTTTAGACAGTGCTTAACATTTTGTTGTCACATCTGTACTCAATGGAATGGGCATTCATTCACTATGAACACAAGGTCACACATTTTGTTGTTTCTGAGGAGATTCTAGAGGGGAAAAAAACCTGCTACCATGAGCACATGACAAGTAAGGTAAGTTGGGAGTTCTGATTTTCTGTAAAAACCTATGGAACATGAATGGTATCAGCAGAAAGCTTTACAGATGCAAAAAGCTTTGTGAAAGCTCTTCTCAAACTCATAGTTTTTAAATGTGTCTGTGAAGATCTTGTTGAATCTCCAAACCACACAATTATGTTGGCATAAAACGTACTGAAGTTGTTCAGCTAGATGGGCCTTTTAACTGTAGCTGGTGAATGGAAAAAACTATGCAGTACACACATACCAGTCCTTCTTACCCTTTTCTGTGGAGGTTTATCAACCTCAGGATACTGTGGTGATAATGACAAGAGATACCCAGCTACACTCAGAGGTACTTTTATTAAGCTAACATCAAGGTAATTTCCTAGTCTCTCTAGAATTATGCATCTGAGATTTGAGACCGTCTTCTTTTTTAACAATGCATGGGATTTTATGGACAGTTTTTTGTTACAGATGGATTGAGGTTGGAAGGGACAGCTGGAGATGGTATATTCCAACTGCACTGCTTAGGGCAGGGCTGCAGACACAGATTGCTCAGTTACTTTGGCTTTTGAGTATCACCAAATATGGAGACTCTACAGCTCCTCTAGGCAACACGTTCCAGTGTTCAAATCTCCTCATACTGAAAATATTTCAGCAGGCTGTCTTGTATTTCAAGTTGTGCCCACTTTTTCTTGTCCCACCACTGGATAACACAGTGGAGTCTGGCTCTATCTTCTTGATTGCCCCTCATCAGGAATGGATACACATTGATAGGAATCTCTCAGCTGCCCTCTTCAATCCAAGTGACATGCTGTAGTTCTCAAACTTCTGTTTGCTGATACAGAGCAGCAGAAGCATAGAAGCATTACCTTTCTCTTGTTTGCAAAGGCTGTAAGGTACCATTTGAATCACTCAAGAAACTACTACTAATTTTGAACATCCTTTACCTGAGACTTGAACTATTTTGAGAAACACTTGAGTGAGCACCATGTAGATGACATAGTCCTAGTCTGCACCTTTTTATGGGTAGTTACACTAACTGGCTACTACCTACTATTAACTGAATGCAATGAGAATAAATTTGAAAAATATTCTGATACATCAATAGAAGATGATGCAGGTATCAGCATTCAGACTGTCCTCTTCCTGGTGGGGCTTCTTTCTCAGTAAAGATTTTGGGGGAATAAGACACAAAATGTGGTGAACTTTATGATGTGAGTGGCTGGGTTCTAAGAAGAAATGCAGTAAAATTCAGCCCTGGAACTTTTAGGGGCTGAGCCCTCAGAAGTTAAAGGCCCTGATTTCTGCACCAGCAGTGATATCAAAAATGGGCGTTTCACAAAATGGGAAGAAGGAAAGCAACAAAAAGTTGGTTTGTAGAACATCAACTTTCTACAGAGCGTCAAACTCTTCAGTTACTTAAATAGCTTTTAAATCTTATATTATTCCAGTAGCCTGACTTCAGAGAGCTATTTGGTCTAAATTTCATAAAAATGAAGAGAAATCAGTACTTCTAGCAAAATTCTTTATTAATAGTTTCTGTAGGTATGATGTCACATTACAGTAACAGAACATCATGCCAGTATAAAGAGAAATCTTAGCATTACAGAAATCTTCCAAGTTTAAACAGTTATCAGTCCCATTTTGAGGAATACCGGCTGGTCCTCCTGTCAAAATCCATGGTAACTTGAGCATCTTCACATTGAAGTACCTTGCTGAATAAAGGTAGAAGCCCTGGCACATGAACTCAGGTAGGATGTACATAATTATGTCCATAAAGTATACCAATTCTTCTAAGATTAAGGTAATGTCTCCAAAAAGGCTGCAACGTAAACATGAGTTTTTGTTTAACATGAAATGATACTGGGAACAGAGAAAAAGTGGGAATGCTTTAAGACATGCAATTAATTATAAACGTTCACAGCTCTGAACCTTCCTCCTTACGCACATCCTATATGCGAAACTAACATCCTCTGCTAAAGTCTGAGTTCCCTACTTTTCATGTTAGTAATTGTTGTTTAGAGCTTGAATGTAATGTTTAGTTCAGCTAATTAAAGTTAATTTCCATTTTTTAAATAAGCATTAAAGTTTTTAAACCTGAACCTGAGAATTTTACCAGTATGAAAGTGAATTTTTGCTTTTGCTTAACTGGATTTAGAAAGAGAGATTGTTGTCCAATGCCAGTGCTTGCAACAAAAATTCCTTAAGCTTAAGCATGTTTGAGACCCAAGGATATGCAACTGCATACCAGCCACATGTTCAGCACAGCTAAACAGTCATGTTGATTTGGGGCATCTCAGGCAGCTCAGCTGGGTCTGGCATAGTAGAACATTCTACAGACAAGTCTGACAACTGCATATTTCTGACATAGGGAGATGACAGATTTTTCACATCAGAATCCAGATAGTTCAGATAAACTGTTGAAAAACCTTAATTTTTTTTTTTTTTAAAATATATGATGACTGACTCAGAAAAGGGACGCTTGCCTTACGATTTATTGTATTTAAGGAGGGCAAGCCTTCAGTTTTTTCTTTTATATATAGCACAGTATTCCTAAAACTGTGGGCCAGAAGCAAAAGAGCAGTGAAGAATGCATTATAAAAGCATGCAAGCTACCAGGGAGCAGGTACAGCTACACTGTAACACCAAGATTCCTCAACGTTTGGAGTTAAAATTCGAGCGTGTGAAAGCACGTCCCTTTACCTTTTTAGAGGATACCTAATATTTATTCTATTAATAACATTTAAAGCTCTGAGCTGTCACTCAGGAAAAAGTTAGCTTTCTTAAGACTTGCCAACCCAACTATTCTGCACTGGTCTTGAAACTACAGACACCAATGACATTAAAATATTCCTCTCAAAATACATGCACTGATCTTTTTCTGAAGGACACAGACATCAAGCCCAGAAAACCCACAATCTTTAAGATTTGGGCTCAAAACTATAATCATCTTGCACGCCTTTCTCACAAAGTTCAGCATGAACTGGTGCTATTTGCTACAACCCTATCTCAAGTCCAGTTCTTGCATTCAAACTAAAAAGATCAAAATCGCTCCTGAGGAAATGATTCCAACCCCCAGAGCAGACCAATCTTTTCTCCCCTATTTCCCAAAGGGACCCATGCCATGAGGCAGCTTCAGAAAATGAGGTTTACAGGTATTGCCAAAACAGCCTCTGAACTATGGCAAGAAAATTGGTTCAATCTTATTGGGGGAACATAAAGGAACAAAAACCAAGTACCTCCGACTTTTAAGAGTAAAGATTATTGATTTAAGTTCACTCTATCCAGGTCTGCAGGCTATTCCTTCTCCAGGAATGTCATTCCCTGCAGCAACATGAGGGAGTACTTCTCGCTTTCCCCTCCAGCCCCCCAAAGCGTAAGGAGTTAAATATTTCAGAGAAAGGATGGATTAATTGGCTAGCTCATCTTAGAGTAACTTGGAAATCTTTTAGACTTTGTTTTCTATTTTTAGATCTCAGAATGTGTATTTACAACTGCGATTAAAGAAAGCAAACACATTGTTTCTTCAAATCCCCTTTACACAAAGGGGACTAGGAACCTTTCCACCCATGGTTTTACAAAGAGAAGGTTCCTATCACTCCCTTCCTCCCCTTTCACTTTCCTCCCCCCAGCCATGAAGGTACCAAAAAACCAAAGCGGTATCAACTATGGCCAATCCCTTTACAATTAAATTCACACAGGCAGAGTTAGGGAACAGATACATGCATCGCTCCAGATGCCATAAAAACTTCTAGAATTTGCCTCTGTTGTGTGCAAATACTATTTACCATGTGTTCCTAAACCTGAGCACCATACAGTGAAGGAAACAAAGGAAATAAATTATGCTTCAAATTTAAAGTAGTTCACTATTTGATTGATTTAATGGAAAATACTATTTTTGCTAATAACAAAAAAGATATTTGCATCTACAAATGAAGTCGGAAAACTGAACATAGGAAATGGGATAATTTCTGCACAATAGAGGTGAGGTAGGGAATTTTATTGAAAATATCTTTTTTTTTTTTTTTACAAGTTCTTAGAAATAAAGTTCTCTAATCCCACACAAATGTCTGTACCTCAAAAATTCAGCTATGCTAATATGAAACATTTATATTTACAGTTTGCCAAAAGAACATACAGGACTGCCTGTTTATGCAAATACCGAAGTACCAGATCACAGTGAGATACATGTCAGCACTTCCACCATTAGGAACAGAACTAAGATTCAACACACAAAAGAATCTCACTATTCTCTAAACCTCCTATCTCACAAAAAAGGAAGATTTTCAATAGTGTTGTAGCAAGGTCTCCACTAATACTTCATTTTACAAATTACATAATGCATGTGCTCAAATTTACAACAACAAAAAACCCTGTAATCAGTGAGGAACAGAATAACAGTGTTGTCAGTTAGCCTTTTATTGCATTTATTCAGTGAGGCTGATGCTGATCCCATTAATTTTCAGTTATTTCAAACACCTTACCCAGGCTGAAATCCACACCACTCAATGATGTGCAGTGGGCTTCAGCCAGGGAACACTGGCATCTTGTTGCGTATCCTCTCCCTCCCCCTCATCCTTCACTACCACCACACCAAATTTAGCTTCAAACACAAAGACAAATACAGTTTCACATATTTACAGTTACACAGAAAACCAAAACCAATGAATTTTATGGACTTTTTTTTTTTTTTTTAAACAGAGAAACCAAAAATCAGTTTGAATCTCAATGTAGC